AGTTTAGCCTATATTGCGTTCTCTTCCACAGTTTGAGAGATGGCTACTAGTAATCCAGCGACCAAGCTTGAGGTTTATATCCCTCTTTCGATATTTACAGATAGATTAAAGTTTTTATTCCTTTGAAATTTTAACAAATATATACTTTTGTTTTTTTACCTTTTGTTAATTATTCTCCAGGGAAGATACTATGCTCTTGTTGTTTGTTGGCTTCTTGGGAATGGATGTCTTTTTTCTTGGAACAGTATGCTCACAATAGTCGATTATTACGGTTATTTGTTCCCTGTGAGTCTAAAACGTCTTTTTTTTCTTCAATTATATTATGAAAAATATCTCATAAGATCCTCTTTCTTGATTGTTTTTGACTTGTGTTGTTTCATGACTCCTTATAGCGATATCATCCATCGAGAATCCTTACCCTTGCATATCAGATATTTGCCATTGGAACACTTAGTCTTCTTGCTTACAAAGAGGCAAAAATCAATACCAGACTCCGTAATTTGTTTGGATATAGTCTTTTTTTCCTTAGTTGTCTTGCTGTTCTAGTGGTGAGTTATACACTCTCCCTCAATATTTGTTTTTGGGATTTTGCAATACAATTATAAGCTTGATATGCTTATATTTCTCTTAAATTTTCTATGAGGCAGTTAGATTTAGCTACCTCGGGAAAAGGAGGGATTGGATCTTTCGTTGGAGTCTGTGTTATTAGTGCTGCGTTTGGTCTTGCCGATGCACATGTTCAAGGTGGAATGATTGGAGATCTTTCTTTGATGAGACCAGAGTTTGTTCAGGTAACTATGGTCTTGTATGTTTGTTTGCGTTTAAAATCATTTACATGCCGGTATTTGACTTTTGTTAATGTTTTGGCCATTGATCTTAGTCGTATCTAGCTGGCTTAGCTGCTTCAGGAGCACTAACCTCTGGATTAAGGTTGATCACAAAAGCAGCATTTGAAAACTCGAGGGATGGCCTTCGCAAGGGAGCTAGTACGTTTTGATATATTATGTTCTTTTAATTAAGATTACATGCTATGTCAATATTGATACTCAAAATTATACTAATTGTTATATTGTTTGACAACATTTTTCAGTTTTGTTCTTTGCCATATCTGCATTCTTTGAGTTGCTTTGCGTCCTTTTGTATGCATATGTGTTTCCAAAGATACCAATTGTGAAATACTACCGCGCACGAGCTGCCGCTCAAGGATCTAAAACTGTATCGGCCGACCTTGCAGCTGGAGGCAACCAAGACTTACCAGTGACACAGGTACACTACTAGGGTTGACATGCAATAGTAACCAAGAAAACTAAACTAATGTTTATACGGAAATCAAAATTCTTTATAAATAGATTGGTTTTTTCTTCTAAAGTAGCCAAACCGAAACCGACTTTAGCATAACTAACCTAAATTGTAAATTGTTGTAGTTTTACATTAGCATAACTAACCTACATATTTTTTTTACTAAACCAAAACTTTATTTGGTTAAGCTGAAAATCAAAACTAATCCGTAAATCGAATTAACTTGAATGCATGCAGGAGGATGATGTTCCAACATCAAATCAGCGGTTAAGCAACAAACAGTTGTTGTCAAAGAACTTAGATTACGGAATCAACTTATTCTTGGTATATCTACTAACACTTAGCATTTTCCCTGGATTTCTATCGGAGGACACCGGAAAACACAGTTTAGGAGACTGGTAAGTCCAAAAAAACTACACTTACGAGACATTTTGGTAACAATAAATTATAACGAAAAAAACGATTTGAATAGGTATGCGTTAGTGTTGATAGCGATGTACAACGTATGGGATTTGGTTGGAAGGTATATTCCATTGATTGAGAGGTTAAAGATGGAGTCAAGGAAAGGCCTTACGATAACATCATTGGGACGTTTCTTGTTGGTTCCTGCTTTCTATTTCACAGCCAGATATGGGAACCAAGGATGGATGATTTTCTTGACGTCGTTTTTGGGATTAAGCAATGGATATTTAACGGTTTGTATCCTCACATCAGCACCAAAGGGTTACACGGTATATTTTCAAGTCTCACTCTCCTTATTTTTTCGTTTAAGACGCGCGACGATTAATGATGATTCTAAAATTTCGGAATTGATTATTAGGCACCGGAGCAAAATGCATTAGGAAACTATTTGGTGTTATTTTTGTCTGGAGGGATGTTTGCAGGAGTCACTTCTGATTGGCTTTGGCTAATTGGTAAGGGTTGGTGAGTAACTTATATAGAGTTTGAAGCAAATCTTTCTCATTGGAACGGTTGGATTCTCCTATAAATTAATGCAAATGTAAATACTAGAGACTTGAAAAAGAAGAGAACAAAACAAATGCAAACTTTAGTTTTTAAAAAACATTCTAATTATATGTTTTACATGGAAGAAATTGA